TGTGATTCTATCATGCACAGGTAACTCTTTTATTTAAGTGATTTTAAAAAATCCTAATCTATGTAAATGGCACTGTTTTTAAACTATGCTAGGATTCAAAATTAAACTGCTCAGGTTTCAGCATTAAAAGATACCAACTGGATCCATTACTTCCATTCTAACATTTTTCCCCAACATAGAGCCTCTTCTCCTTGATCTCATCATCTTTTAAAGGCATATACGAATATCTTTGAATATTAACTCTTATCAATACAATCCTTGCCTTGCCTCCTTCTCACTGTCAGTACTCAGCTGACAAACTCCCCAAACTATTTATTCTGTGTCTATTCCCTACTTTTTTTTTTTTTTTTTTTACCAAGTAGCTAATCAAGACCAAAGAAAAACATGCAATTGTGCTGGTTGTTTTCACTTTAAATTCATGACCACAAACCTCAAAGTGGGCGCTTGGTGCTGCCAAGCAATCACAATGCTCCCCTTTACAGCAAAAGGCTTTGAAATAGAGTTGACTGCAGTTGCTATCTTCATTTCCTCCCCTCGGTTTTTTTTTTTCTTGAAACTATTCCGTTTAGGCTTTCCTTCTCCCTTTCTGAGTGTCTGCACTAAGTTACCAACGAACAGTCCCAGAAGTACCTCCTTTCTGCTTGAGATCCCTTCCTTACATGGCTTCTAAAGCACGGTGTGCTCTCCCACCCCCACCTCCCTGGCCTCCTGTTCCTCACTCCCTCTTAGGGATCAGACCCCTGACCTCTTCTCTTTCTCCATACTCATTTGGAAAACTCATCTAACCCCCTGGCTCTAAATAGAATAAACTGATGACACTCGCTTCCTTCTTCCACCCAATCTCCCTCTCTCACACGTACATCTACATATTCTTGCGAAGCTATCTCGCTGTACTCCAGCTGCACTACCCTTCTCTTGGTTTTCCTTCAACATGTCAGACGTGCCCCTGCCTCAGTGTGCCTATATTTGAGATATCATCTAACCTGAGCACCCTTTCTCTGAACAGACCTATGTCCTTCACTTATCCATGGAGGTCTCTGCTCCAACATCACCATATGCAGTTGGCTTGGCAAGCCCTGCTACAGTAGCAGTCTCCCTGCTCTTCTTTCTAGCACTTGCGACTAGCTGACATCGCATTACCTGCTTGCATATTCATTTGCCTTATAGACTGTTTCTCCCACTGAAATATAAATCTCCATGAGTGTAAGGTATTTGGCTATTGTGTTTACTTCTTGGCAAAGACTGGGTTCTAAGACGTTTGTTAAATGACTCTAAGTCATCTTCAAGTTTTCTCTTTGGAATTATAACAGGTATAGGCAAATTATATATCTCAGTTATACAGGAATTCTTGACATCATTTTGGCTATCAGAAGAAAAGAACACATAAGCAAATTAGCTTAACAATAATGCAAGGAGATGCAATTAACCCGAAGCAATATATTTATATGAATGAATAAAAAAAACTTTCATATGCAGGTCAGTGTGACCTAGATGGGAATGACAAACAGAACTACCCTGGAAGCTGGTGTGACTGTTTACAGTATAATATTGAAAAGGATCCTAAAGCTAAATCAGTTTCAACAGGAAAGGCTATCATATTGAGGGGTATTCTCCAGAAGGAAGGGGTGAGACACTCCGTGCCTTTAAATCTATGCCTTTACATCTTAAAGTTTTTTTCTTTGTTCAGCTGACCACTTCCAAGAAATCCATACATTTATATACATATATGGTTATAAAAGATTTCCATAGACAAGGGTCCCCCAGAGGAAGACTAAACTAAGGATATCAATTCTTACACACATGTAACTTTTTCATAAAAATACTCTTATCTACACATGACAAAATTTAAGTTATAAATAAGTGCAATGAGAGCTAACATCAAAGATGAATAATAAAATACAACTATTCTAAAAATAGAATAAAATAACCAGCATCGCTACTCTGCATTTTGGAACCAATTATTATATAAAGTAAGGGTTACTTGAAGAGAAGCGCTGCAATCCCATGACAGGTGGACAGCTATTCAGTAGGAGCGTATGGTCAAAGTGACGATTCTCATTCTGGTGGGATGGAATTGGTCACAAGACTTCACTATGTTACTCAGAACGGCATGCAACTTAAAACTTATAAATTACTTATTTCTGAATTTTTCTGCACATTTTTTTTTTTTGGTCTGAGCTTGGCACATTTAACTCAAATCATGGAATGTAAAATCAAGCATAAGAGAGTCGTACCACTTCGATACTTAGAGGGCTCAGACACGGAATAACTGAGACAGATTTTCTGATTTGCAGACCTTCTCACAAACGAGGCAAAACATGCTTGCTCACTATCTCAGTAGTAACACCTTCATTCACTCAGCTGCTCGGGCCCAAACTCTGGATTTAACCTTGGGTCCCATCTTTCATACAATCTTCACCCATTCACTCCACAAGCATACCTTGTTAATTTTACCTGCAGAGCATTTTTTAAAGCTTTATCCACATCTTTTTATTGCCACATTCATAGCCTAGACCACGCCACCATGGCCTTTCTCTTGGTCCCCTGTAATAGCAACCTAGTCGGTCAGTCTGTTTGTATTTGTGCCCCTTCACAATCCATTATCTACACAGCAGTCAAAATGACTTCTAAAAGCAGGAATCAAATTTTATTATTCTCTAATCATTTCCCATTTTCCTTGGAATAAAATCCAAACTCCTAATCCTGGGTAATTTCCCCAGCCTATTTCTCCAACTATATTGCAAACCATTCTCCTCTTATTCCCTGTGATTCTGCCACACTGATTTCCTTTGAGCCCCAAAGTTGTTTTTCACTCCAGGGCTTCTGTAACAGCTGGCCTCTGGAGGAAATGTCCCTTCTCTGATAAGCTCTCCTTAGACAGTCAGATTTCATCTAAAGTCCCCTCTCAAAAGGCTTCGCTTATCATGCAATTGAAAGAGGCAACTCAACCCTTATATAATCCTATCTTTACTTTGTATAATCCAAATAATTCTTCAGTTTTTGAGCAGTTCATTTCTTATTATAAAATACATAAATTATATATTCTTGTCTCATTCACCATTACGAAAATGACTGGAATCTTGTCTTTGTACTACCTTGATGAGAGGGGTTACCTAATAAATATTTGCTGACGATGCTTTGTGCTGTTTTAAAATACATCTTAGTAATAAAATGTGTATATGTTTATTTATTCCTATTTGTAGAATAAATGAGTGATAATAGAATCAAGTAAGCATTTCTTCTTGGGATTAGAGATGATAATTCTCTGAGGCTGAAGAAAACAGGAACTCCCTTGGATACAAATTCAAAATATTCCAACATTTTTCCTAGGCAAAATGAGAGGCTGACTATAAAACAATGGGAATAGAATTTATGCTTCATAGAGCTAGAAATCATAAAACGATATCACAGCAAGTAAATGTCATGAAAGTATATGCAATAGGTGTGAGAGGTACACACTTAAAACACGCATGTGTGTATGTGTGTTTGTGGGAAAGTAGATAGGAAAAAAAAGCACATAATGTTCGAGTATTTTCGACAGAGGAAGTATGAGTGAATCCAGAATCCAGAGCTCATAGCATGCTTAGGGAACTGAAAACAACGCAACTGGCTGGACAGCATAGGAAGAACTAAGAGGTACTAAGACTGAAGGCATATAGGGATAATATCACACAAACCTGCCAAGAGCTTCAGACTCTCCGATGACTAAAGTGTCACTGAGAAAAATCTAAAGCCAGGCAATTTTTACATGTAACAGAATCCTCATTAAAGTAAGATATTCTTAACTAGTGTGAAGAGTTTAGAGGGATAAAGAGGTCGAGCTGCAGACTGTTAAAGGCTTTCTAGTAAGACAGAGTACTGGTGGAAATCAGAAAAATGGAATATGAAGATCCTACTCTCAGGAAGCAACAAAGAAACCGGGATATAATTTACAAACAGAAGAAACTCCAAGCCTCCAGTCATAATATAATGTTGAAGAATGATGCATGGTGATCCACGTTGGGTCAGTTATACTGTTCACATGTGTTGAAATGGCACACTGCATCCCGTAAAGGGGTGAAATTACTGCTAACTTCCTTGTACAAACTGCTGGCCTACTTTAGTCCAGAATTTTAAAATATCTATTTGGGATAAATCTTAACATAATGTACTTTCATTAAATCTTTTCTGGCAAATTATGTTCTATGAAAGTAATCACAGCCTGACCTCAAGTATGATTTTGGTAACATTATAAATGTCTTACTGATAATAAAATGATATAGGAAAATAAAAAGTCCAATCAAGACATATGTAACCTTTTAAATAAGTGATATCTGTAAAAATTCTTTTATTACTTTGATAAAAATAAACCATAAAACTGTCTCAGAGGAGCTAGAAGAGATAATAACCATACATTATAATTTAACAAATAGTCATAAAAATCTATACACTTACACAGCCATATCCATAAATGTATATGGATTCTCTGGTTAGCAACACAAACACCAACAGATAATAGGCAGATATTTTCTCAAGAAGATCTTCATTTACATATACTTTCAAATTTAACTTCAGTTAGGATTTTGAATAAACTTCTGCAATGATAATGTGAATCTACACTTGAAAATCACACAACGTTGTGGAGGGATTTTGATCCTGCTATGTTTCAAAGTGTAAGATACAGATACCAAAGAATGATATTCTAACTATAATCAACACATTATAATATACTAAATCTCAAACATTTTACTCTGGGATAACAGGAGGGTAGTTTTAAGGAAAGTATTACTGACTTGAGTGTGATCAAAAGGCTCAATTCTAATACCAAGAAGAACTATCAAACTGTTGGCAAAACTTAAACAGCAAAGAAAAATAACATGAAGAAGACATAAGTTGGATAGACATCTGTTAAAGATCAAGGAAAGCCAATTTTATAATTTGTACTTTAAATCTGTAATGCAGGCAGCACATTTACCTCCAAAATCTCCTTTTACCACTAGAAAGCGACATATAACACTTACCTTATAACTATCAGGAAAGCTATCAGGATTGAACAGATAGGATCTGCTATCATCAGACCAAAATTCTGCATCATGATGGCAGAGGCAATTACACCAATACTTCCAAGTGTATCTGCTAGAATGTGTAAAAATACTCCTAGAAATACAGCATAATAAAAATAACAAATAGGTTCTGATTAACATAAATACCAGTCTCTTGAATCCATAATTTACAGATTAAAAAATATAAATATCAATTTGAAAAATTACTAAGAATGCATATATTTTTAATAATTAGGTAACATAACTATATAAATATTATCAGTTAAAATACTCTTCATTTTTTCAATCAATAGGGGTTCAAAGATCTAGTAAATTTTTCCTGTTTTAGTGGTATAATATAACGGAAGAATTTGAGAAAATACTGCTTGTCAAAATTTATCTCAGACTAAAAGAGGTTAAAGTTTAATTTGTTACCAGAAAGACACTGCATGCAGCTCTACTCTAACTGGTCAAGAAAACGTTTTAACTATAAAAAATGTACATGGAGTGCCCTCTGCTGGTGACAAATATTATTACCATTTAGGACTAGAATTTCCTATCCTGACTTATCCAGATTTGTTATTTATTATAAAAGTATTGTTATATATATTGGGTACATTATATACATAATCTTAATGTAAGAGAAGGTAGGAATCTGAATATTTTAAAAATAAAGTAAAATTCATATTGACACAGGCACTGTGGAATAGCAACTTAAGCTTCTAACATGAAGTACTGGCATATCATTTGGGTAACGGTTCCACTCCGTTTCAGATCCAAGTCCCTGCTAATGTGTCTGGGAAGACAATGGAAGATGGACCAAGATGTGGAAGACCCAGAAGAAGCTCTGAGCTCCTGTGTGGCCTGACACAGCCCAGGCTGCTGTGGCCATTTGAGGAGTGAAACAGCAGATGGAAGATTTCTCTATGTCTCTCCCTGTCTCTCTCTGTAACTCTCTGCCTTCCAAAATAAATAAATAAATGCTAAAGAAAAATGCATGTTAAACTTTTAATAAACAAAGTAGCAAATGCAGTTTGAAAACCATTAAAAATACCAAGAAGTTTAACATATAACATGTTCTGAAGACTTGACAAGGCAATAAATTATTTAATATACATACTTTAATAGATAAAATTTAAGCTTTAATAATATCTTATTAAAAGTAGAATATTCTTCAACACTCTCAACTACAATATCTGAAAAGGAGTTGAAATATGAAAAAGAAGTACCTATTTTGGTACATTGTTTTTCCTTTTTTATTATCCATTGGACAAAAATAATTAAATAATAATTATCCCTAGGAGTAAAAAAAAAGAAGATTCAAAGTAAAAAGTTAAAAAATTTAAAAGATGTCTATTAATATGTCCAATAGAATTTTAATGTGCTCTAGGAAGGTATATTTCAATTGATCAGCTACTGTAGAACTCTGTCTAAATGATAACACATATAACTCATACTCTACCACGTACACGTGCCTTTTCATCTGTATAGCATTTCGACTCATTCTCTGAAACACTGATGGATCAATTCAGAGAAATTGCTCCACAACAAGAGAATTTGCCAGAATATACTTAGACAATATATTTTCTACCCTAAGGCATTTCAAATAGCAAAGCATTAAATAGATTAATGTATTTTAACCACTCGATTTTTTTTAGAAAAACATGGAAAGCAATTCACAGCAGTTACATATTTGTAAAATATATAAATTCTCAAATTCATGTGAGAGACACGGAGACTGAACTGTCAGTTGTGTACCCCAGGTTCATTCAGCAGACGCCCCTGGGAGCCGGGTCAGGCAGCAGCCAGGAGGCACTCCAGGCGGGCCTCCCGTGCGAGGACACATTCACCTGCTCCAGGCAGCGTCTACTGCTTCAGAAGCAGGATGCCGCCTCACCCGGCCCCCACACGGGCACCCCAAGCAGTGGCCGAGGTGCTGCACCGCACGCTTACAGGCATTGTAATACAATCCGCACTGAGAACAAGTCAATACTGAAAGAAAAAAGAGGAGACTCATTTGTGCTTGCTTTTCCTTGGTTGGAAAGTTTCTAGCTGAATCTTATTCACTAAGCAGAAAACTGGCTTTAAAAATCTGTATCACTCGGACAGGCACGGTGGCATGGCAAACTATTCCTGTGCATGGGCACCAGTTCTAATCCTGGCTGTGTTATTCGGGATCTGGATTCCTGCTACTGACTCGGGAAAGTAGTGGAAGATGGCCCAGGAATTCGGGTCCCTGCACCCACGAGGGAGGCACTTCAGAAGCTCCTGGCTTGGCTCTGGATCAGCTCCGATCTGGCCATGGCAGTCACCTAGGCAGTGCTCTTCCCCCGCCTCCTCCACCCCCCATGACTTTCAGGTAAAAAGCTCTTTTTAAAAAAAGTATCATTAACCATCTAAATCTTTCTTATTTTCTAGTACCTGCTCTAAAAAAAAATCACACAAAAATATAAACTAATATTTTACTTATGTGCCTTGTAAGACTTTATACAATGCTGACAAACTAATTCTCCTCAAATTTTGAAGTCAGGGATCACAATTAAGATATAGCAAGTACTTTTTAAAAAAACAGTTAACTCATGGTTTTGCATGTGTGTGTGGCTATATGGTTGTTTTGAGCAGTTTTCTCTGTTCTTCAACTATTCATTAGATGCTTCACTAACTATATACTCTTAGATATTCAGAAAAAGAATCTTAAGAGCTTTTTTTTTTTAAAAAAAATTATGTTCTATCATTTTTTGAAAGCCAAAGTCAGAGAGCGAGTGAGAGAGAAATGGCTTCTGTACACTTTCCCTTAGATGATGGCAGCCAAGTGGTGCTGAGCCAAGCTGAAGCCAGGAGCCAGAGCCACCTGATTCTCCTATGTGGGCAATGGCCCAGCCACTCAGGCCATCCTCCATTGCTTTTCCCAGGGGATCAGCAGTGGGGTCAGCCAGGATACAAAGCATCACCCGTACTGGATGTCAGCATTGCAGGCAGTGGCGCTACTCACTACGCGACAACGCCAGCCCTAGGCATTTTCATTCATTGTAGAAGAGGAAAGAGAAGCAGACACTGGTTCACTTATCAAATGCCTGCCACTCCTGGGGCCGGGCCAGGCAGAACCCAGGAGCCCAGAACTCATCTTAGTCTCTCCTACTGAGTCTCAAACACCTCGGCCATCATCTGTTCCCTCCCCGAGCATGAATTAGCAGGAAGGCAGAATGGAAAGAACCAGGATATCAACCCAGACACGCTGGTACCGGATACGGATAGCCCAAGTGGTATTTCAATCACTGTGTCAAAATACTCACCCCAACATTTAATATTATAAAAGTTTTTATTAAAAAAATAGCTAAAAAGGCAGATCTTTTTTCCTCCAACATAATTCTCAAAACTTCAGTTTGGTATAATTTATATCATTTAATGCAGATAGATCAAATATGTATGATAGCAGCCAATTAACTAAATGCTGTTTTAGAGCAATTTTATATATTTCATAAATAGAATATTTGTGATTGAAAGATACATTTAAGCATTCTAAAAATAAATTCTTCAGGTCAGAGGAACCCATTAAGAGTGAAAAAATAGAAAAGTAAATTTCATTAAGAAATAGTGGAGAAATAACGCTATACATATTAGAACAGAAGCTGCTGAAAAAGCCAGACTCATAAATTCTGCAATTACACAAGAATATTCAAGTAAAACCATACAATACATCCACGAAGGCAAGCATTCTATTATAGAGATACTACATTAAGTAGCATATCTTAATTTTTTTTTTTTTTATGTTAAACCTAAGAAGATCCAGTGGCAAGACAGTATCTGCTGGAATTCAACATAGAATATATAAAATAATCACTGGGAAAGCTAATATTTTAAACATAAATATTATGCCATATATTTTTCTTAAGGAAAAAAAGAACTCAAAACTAAGAATCCACTTTTATAAAATTGAGAAACTTACAAGTTGCTTGTCATACCTTGTAAAATCTGTCTGCTGGGTCCTTGTGTGTCTTTTAAAGAGGGACCATCTGTAGAGAATTAAGTTAAATTATTTTAAAACATGTCTTCAATTCCTGAGTCAAATTTTTCAATTGAGTCCTTTTCATTCAAATGTATCATGAAGGACGAATGACTAGTCATATCAGACCTAAAAAATTATTTTTAAAATTCAATAAAGTAGTTAAGAAGAGGTAAATCCAGAGGAGGCAACCTTAAAATACATCAGTGGTGCTCAGTACTTTGGAAATTATTGTCTCCCAAAATTGAAAGTACAGAAATATAAAAACATTGTCAACATTTTCAAATATTCCCAAAATATCTTCTGTAATTTTACAACTGTAAAATTAAAAAGAAAACCGCATGTGCTGCCTGATACAAGAGGTCAAGGAAATGAAAAAGCAGGGAAGAATTCAGGCTACCTTGATCCTGACAAACACTTGCTTTCAATACCTTTTATCTCTGTCAAGGCTTTTACACAGAATAAAAAAATTCTCTTCAAAAATGCAGTCCTTATGCTGAAACAATGAAACACTGCTGCAGTGAACCGAGGACCCAGGCAGACAAGGTAAAAGCAGAGGAAGGTGTCTTCTGAGACGATGGGGAAGACTGGCAGGCCTGTTGGTCCCGGTTACCTGAGCGCTCCTCCGCCCTTCTCACTGCTTTCTTGAAGTCAGACGCTGAGTTCACCCCAGATGTTTTCTGCCTACTAATAATTATGACCTCTTTGTGTTTCAGTTCCTAGTTAAGAACACGGCAACAACAGCCCTACCTACCACATAAGCTTATTATATGGGGAATTTAAAAAGTTAATATAATTGAATCATTTAGAACATATTTGACACATGAATGAACATTCAAAACTCACAATGACCAATACTGTGGGCGGTAGTGATGATGATGCTAATTGGAATACAATATCAGGTTACAATAAAAAGTTGTTTAACTCCCAACAAATACACCTGATGAAATGTTTCAACTTTTGCCCCAGGTCTACAAAATAGGTATGTTATTAAAACCTCAAATATGTCTTTCTAGGAATTTAAAAACATTTTTCTTTGTATATTTCTTCAGCAAGTGATCATAACAATGACATTCAGTTTTCTAATCTAAAAATGGTCTAATATCTGCAATTTTTTTTAACACAAATTTGATATTCAAAAAATTTCAGATTATGCAGCATTTAGATTTCAGCCTAGGGATGTTCAGGTAATAAAGATTGCAAATACTCTAAAATTTGAAAAAATCAAAATCTGAAACATTTTTTCGATAAGCAGTATTTAACCCATGTTATTTGGTTTTATTGGTGGTTGGATATAGTAGAGGAATTAAATCTGGAGCAAATCTTTCAACATTTAATAAGATGCACAAATGTAAATAGCACTTAAATATTCATGAACCTACTAAGTGTTTAATAAGTTGTCCCTAACATGCCCAGTTATGTTCTTGCACCAATTAATTGGTCTGTGTGAGCCAGGGACGATAAGCCAAAGTGTCTAAGGCAGGGGTCACGACAGGCGACGGGCTGTGCCGGGCTGAGCTGGAGCAACCACTGGCATACTTAACACTGGCTGGGAACAGGCCCGGTTGGGGAGCTGGGGGGGAGACCCTGGCTGAATGGAGGTTCCCACTGAGGGGCGCACAGGCTGGAATGGGGCTGCGTTCTGATCAGGATACAGTTGTAGTCTCCCTTGGCACAAGTGTGGACTGGGACTAGACGCACCAGGCCGGGTCAGACTGCAACACCTCCTAGTGTCATGGAGGACCAGGGTAGATGTGGGACGCACTAGGCTGGGTTTCAACCCCAACTGAGCCAAGTATGAGCAATACGTGGGTATGGGAGAACCGTGGTTGGGCTGAAACATCCAACAGCAAGAACCAGAATGGGTTGAAGGCCAGTTAAGAAAAGCCACTGCTGGGCCCAGCGCGGTGGCGCAAGTGGTTAAAGGTCCTCGCCTTGCACGCCTGGGATCCCATATGGGTGCCGGTTCTAATCCCGGCAGCCCCGCTTCCCTTCCAGCTCCCTGCCTGTGGCCCGGGAAAGCAGCAGAGGACAGCCCAAAGCCTTGGGACCCTGCGCCCGCGTGGGAGACCCAGAAGAGGCTCCTGGCTTCGGATTGGCATAGTATCAACCCGTAGCGCTCACTTGGGGAGTGAATCATCGGACGGAAGATCTTCCTCTCTGTCTCTCCTCTCTGTATATCCGCCTTTCCAATGAAAAGGGGGCTTGGGGGGGCTAGACAGAGAGACACCCAACATCCATGAGGGCTGGACAGTTGAGCTGGAACAAGGTTTTAATACCCATTGACATGTATGAGAGCAGAGGGGGATGTGGGACAGACTGGACTAGTCTGCCACACATACTGGCAAACCAGGGTAGGGGGCGGGCCTGGTGGGGGTTATTGTGGGTCGCTCTGACTAGGCTGAAGCTCCCACTGGTTTACGTGAGGGCCAGGTATGTGCTGGGCAGAACCAGGCTGGACTGCAATACCCATTGGTTCCACTGGAAGACAGGGATGGAAACAGAACCAACCCAGCAAGTGCAACCACCAGCTGATGGTGCAATGGACCGTGCCAGGCCCTGTGCTTGCTAGTACATGCAGGAATCTGGTCTGGGAACACCTCAGACAGAGTTTCTTTGGGAATCCCCCAATCGAGCTTCCGGACTCAGAACCCTAACCATCAAAAGATGGAGGACAGAGCAGGTCAATCAACCACCTCAGCTATATGTTGGCAATGAAAATACTAGGCAAACAGAGACTCTGTGATGGACTAGGTCAATCAGTGGATTCTTCAACAGCTTCATCATGCCTGGACAGGCAAAATTGGCAGTGATTCATAACCGGTGAACTACCAAAACCACTTGAGCAAGGATCTCGGAGCATGCCCCACATCTGGGACCTGGGATGGGTGGGAGACTGGGTGGGGCTTCTCCATCAATATTCCCTTTACCTCAGACATATGAAGGAAACAATAGGTAAATAGTGGTCTTCCCACTTTCCTATAGCCCTTGTACCTTTTTACCCTAATTAACAATGTAAAGAATGCCAAAACTATTTTTAAAAAATTAATTCTTTGGGAGCCAGCTTCCTGTAGCACTGGCATTCCTTATGAGTGTTGTTTCTAGTCCTGACGGCTCCACTTTTCCCTGTTGATGGCCTGGGAAAGCAGTGGAAAATGGTCCAGGGGCTTGAGCCCCTCTACCCACGTTGGAGACTTGGAAGAAGCTCCCAGGTCCAGACCCATACAACTCTTGTCGTTGCAACCATTTGGGGAGGGAAGCAGCAGCTGGAAGTTCTCCCTGTCTTTGTAATTCTTTCAAGTAAAACATAAATTTTTTAAAAAAAAAAACTTATGCATAGATTTTAAAATGTTTCTGTACCGCAATAAACTATATATTTTCATTAAAAAAAAAAATCAGTTGTCGCTACATTCCAGGCTCGGTGTTAGAATAGCTTCTCCTTTTCTGTTTCAGTTTAGTCAATGTTGAATGGCATAAGCAGTTAGTTGAACCTCTAGACTAACTACAGCATCACAGGCATATGTCATGTTGCACATTTTGTGAAGCAATCACTGATTGCACATAGTAATGAAGTGATTCGGAGCACAAGACAAGGACAAATGAAGTGCTGGAGTTAAGCAATGATACAAGTAAGAGGCTCTATTTTTAGATTTATAAAACTTCAAAAGCTTTCCTAAAACCTATCTGCCTAAGAATTCCTTAGTGCCTCAAATTCTTTCTGGTGAACTACTGTTCTTTATCAAACTTAACTACTGTTCAACCTATATTGAATCTTACCATATAGAGGGAGTACTGTTGACTATATAAAAGAAATTCTGGGCCAACCATCAAGGGGTCAGTAGAAAACGCTGGTGAAGGGAAAGGAAGTAATAACTTCACAACAGATTAGCAAATCCTTTTATAAGCACTGTGGTTCCCAATTAATCACTTTAGGATTAAACATCGGGATAGCCTAATGAACTCACAACTGATAAATCTATAAAAATGATTCTTGATGATACATCACTGTAGGTTTCAGAATTTACTTATGAAAGTATTCAAAGGATTGTGAAAACTGTTGTAACTGTATTCTTTCTATTTAAGGTTTCTTAGCATTTATAAAGATGACAAACAGGAAATTAATTGATATAAAAACCTTTTTTAAGGCCAGTGTCATATAACTACAAAAAAAAAGAGCTCCAGTTATCTAATTAAGACACATATTTCAAATATTAGAGAACTTCAAAAAGTTTATGTAAATAGAATTTTAAAATGTAATGTGATGCAAAAAAGTCCAGATCTATGCATAATATGACTTTTCACACTTTATAATTTATTATGCATGAGAAACATTGTAAAAATAGTGTTGGTATAGCTTATATCCTTAACACATTTAGGTTCCACTGTAGGATAATGAAGTATTCATTCTAAATTATTAACTTCAATGTCAAAAATCAAATTCTTTGAAATCATTTTGTTAAAAAAACGTAAAGAAATCATCTTAAAAGTATAAAGGACACACAGTTTTTCAAACTTACTTGGAATTCATAAAGAGTTGGAAATGCAAACCAGTGCAATCATTACAAAAATGACAAATTTCAGAGAATGACACAGGCAACAATAGCAAAAATAGATCAGTGAGATTACATCAATCCAAAAAGCTTCTGCAGAGCAAAGAACATAAACCAAAGGAAAAGGCAACTGAAGCAATGGCACAACACACCTGTGAACTACACACCCGGTCCAGAATACCTAAAACACATACAGAATGTACACAACTCAAGGCCAGAAAAACAAATCACTAAAAAGTGAATAAAGGAATGCAACAGAAATCTTTCTATAGAGGACATCCAGGTGGCCAAGAGGGATGTGAAAAGGATGAACTACATCACCTCTCACCTGTCCAATGGCTATGTAGTGTTGGTGAGAAAGTAGAGAAAAGTGAATCTTTCTACATTCTTAGTGAGAATGCAAATCAGTGTAACTAATATGAAAAATACAATGGGACTGCCTCAAAAAATTAAAATATACTATCATGAGGCCAACAATCCTATTCTGGGTACATATGCAAAAAAACTGAAACTAGGATCTCAAAGACCCACCTGTACTTCCATGTGCATGATAATATTATTCATCATAGTCTATGCATGGAAGTAACCTAAAATTCCATCAACACGCAAATGCCTAAAGAAAATGTGATGTGTACACACACACACATGCACGGATATACAAAATGGAATAACAGTCAGCCTTCCAAAAGAAAATTCTGCTACTTGAAAAACAAAACATGGTTAATGTGGAGAACACCATGCTAAGTGAACAGGCTAGAAAAGAATGACAAATACTGCATCTGTAGTATTTAGACAAGGATCTACACTGTCAGACTGGTAGAAATAAAGGCTATAATGGTGGTTGCCAGGGACAGGGGGGAATAGAAAAGAGGAAGTATTAGTAAAAACACAAAGTTTCAGTTATATCCTTTGTAATTTTCTGGAAGTCCCGGAGATCTACATAACATGGTGCCTATGTTGACACCATCTGTATATTTAATAATTTGCCAACAGGTTATATCTTATGTACTTTTACATAAATAAATAATTAAGCATCAGAATAAATAAAGTGCAAGAGAACACTTATGGTGCTATGACGCAAATTGTGGTAACGATTCACTGGTATTTTTATCTCCAAATTCATCAAGTTGTACACATTAAACATGTGTATCCTCCTGTGTATTAATTATATTCCAGTAAGGCAGCTAAAAAATTCAAACATTGAAATGGAATTTTCACTCCCTAAGGTCCCCTTCATTTCTTCAAAATCTAAATCTTCAGGATTCTGTTAATGTTAGTAAAAAATAAAATTTAAGCATGTAATCTATTTAAAGATTAATCAAATTGTGTCTCCCAAGCAGCTTCTATTGATCTAAATCCTGAAATTTATAAACTGGTTACATTATAATTTAAAATATTAAGTTGATGAATACCTTATAATAGTACATACTGTTATATAAATTAACATTTGGAGAATTTTAAATAGGCATGAGAAAATAAACATCAAGAATTAAAGTAAAAATGCAAAAAACTGAATATCCCTATGACATTTTTATAACACAAAAACCCTCATCATACTTAAAAAATAATGATTTTGATTTGTTAAACTACAACCGTAATACTCACCAACGTTTATTTTAAATGATGGCATTTTATTATGACATACTCTGAAAGTTAATTTCATGATACACTAAAAATTATTCCTGGAAACCACTGAGCCTGACTTCTTAAAAAACTGACGACAGCATCCTTTTCGTGGCTACTTTCATTAGGAGAAACAGTTGCACAATTTCTGTGTATTTGGAAGGCCACATCAAAATGTTCAGGCTCCACTCACCGTGAGAATGAGAATGCCCATGTCCGTGCCCATGACCATGGCTATGTGCAGGACCATGTTTCAGTTCGTGACCGTGACAGTGGTCTCCGTGGCCGTGTGCCGCATCTAGAGCTCCATTAAAGAGGGAATGACTGTGGCCATGGCCTAGAAAACAGTATTAGAACAGGAAAATAAACTATAGAAACCGCTAACAATATCATGCGGTATACTAAAACAAGCCAGCTCTAAATCCAGACTCAATTCACTGAACATTTACTTGAAAAAAGTGCTATAGATTAATTTAAATAATCCTGAGTTCCTACTATAAACAACAGGAAAAAAGTTAAAGCAAGACTTTCCTGAAAATGAAAATGAGTATGGACGAGATATATTCAGAAATACTTAAAGGTAATGACATTTGTTTATTCAAAAACTATTTATCTGGGACATAGTATGCTAAAGGCCTCGGGATGCAGCAGTAAAAATACAGACAAAAATCTTGAATAATACTGCTGAGCACACTGACAGAGACGAAACCAAACATGTGCATATGGTCACAATGACACAGGTGCAGGGAAGCACCTACCTTCAGCAGAAGGATTCGCAAAATTTATATCTATATCTATCTATATATACACACACACACACACACACACATATATACATTTTAATATTTATCTAATGTTATTGGAAAGGCAGATATACAGAGAGGAGAGACAGAGAGAAAGATCTTCCATCCAATGATTCACTCCACAAGTGAGCACAACAGCCGGTGCTGAGCCAATCCGAAGCCAGGAACCAGGAGCTCTTCTGGGTCTCCCACATGGGTGCAGAGTCCCAAGGCTTTGGGCTGTCCTCAAGCGCTTTCTCAGGCCACAAGTAGAGAGCTGGATGGGAAGCTGGGCTGCCGGGATTAGAACCGGCACCTATATGGAATCCTGGCACATGCGAGGCGAGGACTTTAACCACTATGCTATTGCACTGGGCCCGTAAAATTATATTAAAGCTATCAATTCTTAAAGAAACTTCTTATTCAGACTATTCAAAAACACAGAAAAATATTGGATATTATTTAATCAGAAAAATCATTCATGCTCAAAAATATTTTAAATACCAGAACAAATACATTGTTACGTCTTAAGAGAACAAAACAAAACAGAAAAATGAATGACTGTGGTTGGTGGAAAGAATGATGTTAGTAAACTACCTTCTCTAAAGTAACAAAATTGTGAAAGATGTAAATCAGCAATCATTCCAGAAAGCTGGCAACTAACCACAGCTGCACAACACACGGAAGGTCATCTCTCCCAGAGAGATCACTGAGCCTTGGCAAGATGGAGGGAAGCAAAAACCTTTGACATTTAAACTTGTATCTGTTCCCATTCCACCTTCCTTCCTGGCACCTGGGCAAAGCAGGCAAAAATCCAGCCAGTGGCCTTGGTAAGGAGACAGTGGACGCCTCTCCAGGATTTCATAATTAGTATTTCATACAAACTTGCAATTCCCTGCAAAAATTTGTTTCAACTATATGGATCTTACAGCCCAGATCAGCCTCAAGAAGACAAATGTTGGGAGCAGGGAATGACAGATTCCTAGGAATGTGCGCAAGGCTCGGCTTTCTGTTGTGGCCTGACAATTAAAAAGAAATGCCTAGGACGTTAGACAAACGTAGGCAACTGTGAAGACAACCTACATACTCCGGGGGTCTAAAAGATCGCACACACTGTGTATACACACGGATGGAAGACTTGAGAACAGAAAACTCACCACTCACCTCCCACTGAAAACCCTGTAAAAGCAGAAAGGAAACCCAAGGATATTTTGTAAACTGCCTAAACATGATTTCTCATAAATATCCCTTTAGCAAGAGCGGAAGACATACAGGCAGGGAATTTAAGGAAATCTTCTAATTACTGACTGACCACTGAATTAGACTAGTCCAGATGAGATTTCATAGGGAGCCCAATAAAAATAACAAAACTTAAAATTTACAGGATAGTCACAAAGGAATTCTAATAAATTAGCCTGAGAAAGACGTACAAGAAGAAAAAACACAATTACCATCACCACCCATACACATCACAATGAACTTTGGAGGTGAGACACAATCTCATAATAGGATTGGTACAATACATCACCTAAAATGTTCAGTCCCCATCAGATTCCGAGGGATGGAATAGTAAAACACACATTCACACAGAGAAAATCAGGTAACAATGTCTCTGAAGAGACCCCACATTTGAGTCTGAGTAGACAGCTTTTACAACACCTGCTACAAACACGCTCCAAGATCTAAGAAAATCATGTTGAAAGAATGAAAGACTTGGCTAGGCTTCGTGGCACAGCAGGTTAAGCCACCATTTAGGACAGCCAGGGTGCACACCAAATGCCAGTTCCAATCCTGGCTACACTGCTTCTTTACTGATTCCTGTGAATGCATCCAGAAGGCAGCAGATCATGACCCATGTCCTTGAATTCCAGTCACGTAACAGAAAGACCAAAATGGAGTTCCAGGCTCCTGGTTTTGGCCTGGTTCAACCTGACTATTGCAGGTTATCTAGGAAATAAACTAGTGGGAAAAAAATTAATCTATTAATAAACCAACTTCTCCTTTTCTGCTCTTCAAATAGACTAATAAACAATTTTTTAAAATTATGAAAGTGCTATAATGATGAGTTTACAAATAGATAATAAAGAGAAAAATTATATTGAAAAAGAACCAATAGAAATTCTGGAGCTAAAACCATAATGACAGAATTAAACTATTCATTCATGTATTTGACAGCATGTCTAAGTTGCATTAATAACAAATCTGAAGATGAGTCAATAAAGATCTATTCTGAAGGGAACAAAAATGAAAACCATCTCAGAGAACTGTGGGTAATCAGAATCTAAACAAGAGAAGAGGAAGAAGGCACAGAATATATTTAAAGAAATAATGTGGCCCAGTGCAGTGGCCTAGTGGCTAAAGTCCTTGCATGCATCGGGACAGGATCCCTTATGTGCAGTGGTCAATATTCTGGCTGCTCCACTTCCCTTCCAGCTCCCTGCTTGTGGCCTGGGAAAGCAGTCGAGGACGGCCCAAAGCCTTGGGGTCCTTCACCTGTGTAGGAGACCCAGAGGAGGCTCCTGGCTTCGTACCCTGGCTCAGCTACAGCTGCTGGGGCCACTTGGGGAGTAAACCAATGGATGGAAGATCTTTCTCTCTGTCTCTCCTTCTTCGATAAATCTACCTTTCCGATGATAAATAAATAAATATTTAAAGACACTTTCAGATAAAAACTTGCTCCTCGAAAAAATTAGCAAATCCTTTTGGAAAAAATGAAAGAATACACTAAACAGTAAGTTAAATTCACACAATTGGTAAGAAGACACAGGTACCACCAAAGACAGAACACCTATTTTCTTAACTTCATTTCTAATTTGTTTTAAAAAACAGTTGCACAAATCAGTTATAAAACTCGTGTTGATAGCTTGGGTACAGTTGAAGGGTACAACCAAGGAAGCTTTCATGGGTTAAAGGTTCATCTTCGCAGGCCCAGCGGCGTGGCCTAGCCAAGTGGCTAAATTCCTTGTCTGGAACATGCCGGTATCTCAACTGGGCGTTGGTTCTAATCTCAGCAGCCCCACTTCCCACCCAGCTCCCTGCTTGTGGCCTGGGAAAGCAGTCAAGGACGGCCCAAAGCCTTGGGACCCTGCACCCATGTGGGAGACCCAGAAGAAGTTCCTGGCTCCTGGCTCCGGATCGGCACAGCACCAGCCATTGCACTCACTTGGGGAGTGAAACATTGGACAGAAGATCTTCCTTTCTGTCTCTCCTTCTCTCTGTATATCTGACTTTCCAATAAAAATAAAAAAATAAATCTTTAAAACAAAAGGTTCATCTTCGCTATGAATGTCAGACCGGACTGACTGTGATTCTAACAAACAGGCTTTGGGGGATTTTGAGGACTAGGTAAGATCACCAGGCAGAGACCACATAAATGAATTAGGAGTGGCTCTCTATGTTCCCTGCCTCCGGCCACGTGATACCCTGTGCCACCTTGGGATTACGCTAGCAAAAGGCAGTCACTGTCAGATACAACCCCATGCGCCTCCAGAACCATGAGGGAAAATAAACTTTAGCTTTATAAAACAGCTTATCTTGGATATTTTTGTCTAGTAAAAAAAAAAAAAAGAAAACTACAATGGGCTTGTATTGACATATATTTCGACATAAAAATAAAGGAGAAGGAAGGCAACAGAAGTATGGTGTAAAGTTTTTCTGGAACACTGAATTAAGTTACTACTGATTGGTACTATATTGCTTTAATTAAGATGCTATTTGTAACTCCCAGAGCAGATAGCATCAAAATAAAGCACATTTTAATAAATGGTGACAACACAACTATCTGTTTATATTGAGTAGAAAAAGAAATTAAGCCTTAATTCACCTTGTCACAAAATATATTACATGTAGATGAAGGAAGATCATCAAACCAAAAGTTGCTAAAACATTAAAATATAAAAGATTTGTAACCCTGGAATGGAATAGGAAATTCCTTAAACAAAGCAGAAAATGTAGAGAAAGGCATTAGACAAAAACCAAGCTAATCTAAAGCAAGAATTCCTACATAAAGTTTAAAGATAGGCAAGACTAGAAAAAGATGTCAACAACATGCAGAAGAAAGGATAAAGGCAGGAAATATTAGCAATGATTACATATATGTACTAACAAGACAACAGAAAAGCAAACAAAACTATAGGCAGGAGAGGAGAAGTCAGAATGACTGCAAAAACATAAAAAAGATGTTGAGCCCAATTTAATGCTGCTTCAGCTGTGTTAAACCAATAACATTATGCACCAAAGTGAGCAGGAGGAAGTTAGTCCTTGCATTAATTCCTGGCAGTAAACATAAATGCAATGCTCAAATGTCAACCGGAACTAAACATGTATGTAACTAATGTTTTGGCAATTCTGTCTACACCCTAACACACTGCCAAGAACTGCCCACGTGGATGGGAATGTTCTACAACGTGCTGCTTACTGCACACTTGAATGTCACTAGTGTAACAAAGGAACTGAATTTCTATATTCTACTTTCTTGAGCTACGATTTAAACTGATGAGCAGCACAGCTCAACACTCGCATGTTTTCACAAGGCAAGGTCTCCTAGACTAGTGAAAACATGTAAACAATTTAAGATGTTTCCACAGAGCACGTTTTAAACAAACCATAGTTACCCAGTTCATGGAGTTTCATATGGCTGTATTTCATTTGATGGAAAGATTCCGAAAGAATCTGTACAACAGAATTTTATGTATACAATTCAACTTTTTAGCAACTAGATTAGTTTTGTTGCTTTCTGATATCTGTTTCATATAAATAGTAACACACTGACTACATGAGCTGCAGAAGTCTATAGGAGTCTCCCCAGAAATGATAAAATGCACAGATCTGAGAAGACAGTGAAATGGAAGGACATGCACAAGTAAGAAGAATGAGTCAGGAAGATATCAGTAAGCATTTATTTTCTTAAGAACATACTTTATATTTCAAAACCACACATTTTATAAAGTAAATAAGTATGACAGAAACCTGGTAGGAAGTGAAGAAACAAAGGGTTCTAACCATCATACCAGAGCCATGAGAATGTCCATGACCTCCATGCTTGAAAACAAATATTCCTATTAGGTTTACCACAAAGCCAAGAATGGAAACAAGCAGCAGTCTCTCATGGTGTACATCTGGAGGTGCTAACGCTCTCTAGAAAATACATAACACAAATAGCATTGGCACATTTTTAATTGATCAATTGATAAAAACTTATGATTAAAATGTCTAGTAATTTTTAGAATTGAAAGTGCTCAAAAAAATCTGCCAAAATAATCTACAGAAGCAAAACCAGTGCTCATATACTGATGAAAAAGTAACAACTGTACATGTAGGAATAAATACTTTGTCTTCCATTTTAAACTCACTAATATTTACACTATTTTTACATTATTTTTTAAAAATGTCAAACATTAATGATTCATTAGGAAAACTTTCAAGTTTTATTCTCTTTAACATTCCCAATTGCTCTCATTATCCAGATAATACCTTGATTTTTCAGTGTCAACACCTCAAATATTGCTTGTAAAGCACTAACATTTATTTTCAATTTTAAAGTTTCCAACAATATTAATAAATTCAATTCTTTTTAAACTCCTCCTATATACAGATAATATTATTTGCCTAATCCAAAAAGTGCTCTCAGTAGATACTTAATGATCATTTAACAATTTAATTACATGCAACTTTAGGTAATAAGCATTTTTATTATATAGTAAAGTCATTAAATCACTCTAATCATTATCTACTATACCTCAACGCCTTCTGAGAAAATAAAAAAAGCAGTGAAGATCAAAAACAGGCCATTGACAAAGCCAGCCAGAACTTCTGCTCTAACATACCTAAGGGAGAGCAAACAACTGAATTACTAAATCATTCCTTGCAAATCAAATGATCAATTTACATATGTTCAGTGATTCCAAAACAGTTGGTTATAAGTGGCCAGACACTTCCTAGTATTTATAGTACAGCATTTTATTTTACATACATCTTAGCAATTAATGACAAAATGAATTTAATTATTATGAATCAAGTTTAAAACAGAATGCCACACAGCGCACAGATTTCTACAAGCCAACCAAGATACCTTCTGAAAGTAAGTAGGTTTAGAAAAACCTTTCACAGAACAGGTAAATCTCAAGTTGCCACTGGATACAATAAAACAAGATTAGAGATGTGGACCAAGAAGAAAGTCTTCAAAAACAAAAAGTAGAAAAAACAGGCCTGGAAGAGTGTTCTCGAATTATGCCTCCTTCTCTACGAGTTCCTCATGCTCTCTGCTTTGTAGCTTTCAGCTTTCAAAGCTTTGTACAATGGAGCTTTGATGTGAAAGAAAATAAAATTATTTTGGAATTATCCCAGATACAACTTGAGATTTTTATTTTTAATGCTCTTTCTCTAAGATTAATAAATTTAGCATACACTTTCAGTTACCTAGTTTCAGAGTCAATTCTAGCTTCATAGAATTCTAATTAAACTGTTTTAAAAATACCTGTCTTTTTTTCCAGGGACTTCTGAAGCTTTCTGCTTCCTACCTGTGTGAAGCATTGGGGAAACATTTTATTTTTCCATAAAAGTGTATTTGGTTTAGTTAAAGTTCTTAGAAACAACTTTAACTATTTGTTCAACATAATTCAAACAGTGCTGAAAGCAACTAATCACTTTGGTCCTTAAACAATACAAGCGAGCACTGAAACTAACACTTTGCCTAAGCTTTGTATGTTAACTTCCAGAAAACACGATTTGCAGTGTAAAAAATATTTTTAAAAAGAACAAACTCTTCAAATGTATCTAATTACACTAAAGTTTGTCCTATCAAATGCATTCTAACACAGCATGTGCTTATATACTCAACAAATATTTTCATTTTCTAACATAGAAAAATAAGTTATTTGCTAAATATTAACTTTGTTCTACCAAAAAATTTCATTTCAATATCTTATAGCCGGTTTTCCATCATCTATCATTAGAAACTATTTATTTATTTATAAATAACTATTATAGATTTATTTATTTATAAAGATCATTTATTTGAAAAGCAGTGACAGATGGGAAGACCATCTACATGGGTCTAGGAGTTCAAGCACTTGGGCTATCTATCCTTCACTGCTATCCAAGGAGTGTTCACAGGGGACTGGATCAGAAGCAACACAACCAGGACTTGAATTGGTGTTTGGATGCCAGCATTGCAAGGGGTGGGCAGCTTAAACCTCTGTGCCACAATGCTATTGTCAAAGCATTTTCTTGTAATCTACTCCTCTAATCCCATAGTGAATTCTTGATTTTGAAAGTCTTTGTTCCTCGAGTTCCCTTAGAGTTCAACATCTAAGGGAAGAATGCCTTTTGTGTCCATGTGCTTGGACCCCTGCCACTCACAAAGACCAAGATGGAGACACCAGCTCCTGGCTTAAGTCTGGCCTAGACGTGAGACCACCTGCTAAGGACATCTGGCAAGTGAATCGAAAGATGTAAGAACTTTCCAATACCCCTCTCTTTTCCCTATCTCTGTCCTTTTCCATGTCATTATCCCTTTCAAAAAATTAAAGTTTTTAAAACTACTTTTCAAAAGGTTTCATCTTATTCTTAATCCCTAGATCACTGAAAATGCTCCATACATTTTTATAAATTGTTCTGTTCAAATAGTGACAGTATTTTTTAAAAAAAGATTTATTTTATTTTTATTAGAGAGTCAGATATATAGAGAGGAAGAGAGACAGAGAGGAATGATTCATTCCCCAAGTGACCTCAGTAGTCAGAGCTATGCTGAGCTGAAGCCAGGAGCCAAGAGCTTCCCACGGGTGCAGGGTCCCAAGGTTTTGGGCTGTCCTCGACTGCTTTCCCAGGCCACAAGTAGGGAGCTGGATGGGAAAAGAGGCTGCTAGGATCAGAACCAGTGCCCATACGGGATTCAGGTGTGTGCAAGGCGAGGACTTTAGCCACTTGGCTACCATGTCGGGCCCTATACTATTTTTAGAATATTTCTCAATGTAGTTGTAGATCTAAACTGAAACACTAGTGCAGAGTAGACGCACTTGCCTTTACAAATAACTATGATTACTTGAAAGGAGTCTGGGAATTAGAACATATAATTCAAGAAGGTGCTGTTTGCAGTCTTGGGGCAGGGCAAAAAAAAGAAAAAAAGCAAGGATATGCAGACATGTACATAAGCATGGATGTATACAACGACCACCTATGGCATCACACTACTTTTATGCTGGATTTTTCATCTCAAAAATAAAAACATGAAAAGACACAAAGTTTATATTTATATTAAGTATATGCCAACATGTTTACTTGCTCAGATTTCCCTACTAGTACTACCGTAAAGCCAGTTTTTTTATTATGATCATCTTGAATTGGGGGTTTGCAAAGATATATTTAGTGCTTAGCCTGCTCAGTATCATGTTGATGTACCAACATCAGCAATTTACTACTGTAGCTACTTACAGCTATAGCAATTCTTCAGTTTCAGATATTACACCAGCTTTTTATTCCCTCTTTTCCAAAAGGGAAAAAAAAAAGACAAGATAAGAAATAAGGGAGCAAAATAAAATACTATTGAATATGATATTCCAATGAGGTTTTTGAACATATGAATTACCAATTTTTCACCTAGATTAACCTTTAGATATAATTTTTTTAAAAGATTTATTTTTTTATTATTTTTTTATTGGAAAGGTGGATATACAGAGAGGAGGAGAGACAGAGAGGAAGATCTTCCATCCGATGATTCACTCCCCAAGTGAGCACAACGGCCGATGCTATGCCGATCCGAAGCCAGGAGCCTCCTCCGGGTCTCCCACGCGGGTGCAGGGTCCCAAAGCTTTGGGCCGTCCTCGACTGCTCTCCCGGGCCACAGGCAGGGAGCTGGAAGGGAAGCGGGGCTGCCGGGATAGAACCAGCGCCCATATGGGATCCCGGGGTGCAAGGCGAGGACCCTAACCACTGCGCCACTGCGCCGGGCCCTAGATATAAGTTTTATTTATAAGAATGTTTTAGGGCCTGGCGTGATAGCCTACTGGCTAAAATCCTCACCTTGCACGTGCCAGGATCCCACATGGATGATGGCTCTAATCCCGGCAGGTCCACTTCCCATCCAGATCCCTGCTTGTGGCCTGGGAAAGCAGTGGAGGATGGCCCAAAGCCTTTGGACCCTGCACCTGCAAGGGAGACCTGGAAGAAGCTTGAGGCTCCTGGCTACGGATTGGCTTAGCTCTACTGCTGCGGCCACTTGGGGAGTGAATCAGCGACAGATCTTCCTCTTTGTCTTTTCTCTTCTCTATATATCTGAATTTTAAATAAAAGTAAATAAACAAGCAAATAACTTTAAAAAATGTTTTAGTTGCTATACTCAACACTATTTGATTGTCACTAAAATAGTTACATCACAGAAAATTTTCTTAATTGAGATTTCAAGCTGTTTAAATTTATAGATATATAGGAACTCTTGCTCTATACTAACATAAAGAAGAATAATTAGTATTTTTGTCTTATCTAAGTAAAATCAGCAAGTTCCCCTATAGAACTTTGTCAGGAGCCGTGTACTATAGCCACACTGAAGCCATTTTGAATATAGAACTATGGGCCAGTGGAAAATCCCTGGCTGGCTAGATGCTTGAGAAAGAAGTTATGAAACTAATCACACGCTTAGCTTCAATTGTTTGTAGCAACTGTTTTAGAATATGATTTATGCTGTACCTGCCGACATCTTGTTACTGATTACCTATGCTATTGTTGATATGTTGGTTACTATTGTGGATATGGTGACTGCTCAAGAACAATTGGTCTGGAGACCATGGCTTGCGTCCTAGTTTCTCCTTTCCTCCCTGAGCCTTAGTTACTGAAGGATATAAAAACCCTCAACTAAAATCAATAAACTGACAGCTTGATCAGACATCCTGTCTTGCTGTCCATTCTTCGTGTCTCTTGTCCCCCAATCTCTCCTAGGTGGTTGCGACCCCCGTTGACTGTCCTGCTGGACAGGACAGAACTTCACTATCTGTTGCTGCACATGTACATTATATAGCTATTGTGGTGCTTTCGCAAAACTGTCTTCCCATGAAATCATAACTTCTTCCAAGGCAACAGCCGTGTTTTACTCATTTTTTTTTATCATTAGCATCGACAGAAAATTCAACTGCCAATGGATCTACAACGATTACCCATAAAAGGAACAGGCCATTAAAAGACTATGGGTGCTTGCTAAAAAACAAACCAAAACTGGAAAGAAAAAGGAAGAAATAAAAGAGAAGCAAAAGAAAAATGGATCTAAGAGATGGTGCATTTATAAAAGTGTGTGTAAACAATAAGATACAGCAGGAGAACTGCACAGGAAAGGAAGAAAGTGAGAGAAGCAAAGATATCGGGAAAGAGAGCAACAAAAGAAAAGAAAAAAAAAAGGACCCGACAGCTACAGTGGTGAAGAACAAAATGAAATACAAAGCAGAGCAAGCAGGAGAAGTGGTGAAACTGGTGAGAGGTCGTGAGCACAGGTCCAAGGGGTCAGAGACAAAAGAAGACAGCAAAGGAGAGAATAGGAGAATGAGAGAGATGAGAGGTGTGAAGTGAGGTGGAGAGAAAAGTCTATGGGCTAAAAAAAAGAAGAAGAAAAAAAAGGCAGCATAAATAATGGAAAATAGAAAATCCATTGTTTTCTTCAACCAGACACAGGTGGCAAAAAGTAAACTCTACCTAGTCCTTTAGTATAAAAATACCTTCCAAGCGCTTGAATTATTGTCCAAATCAGCAAAACTATGGGAAGAAGTATTTCACATAGTCAGGGCTGAAATGCATAATAATATAAAATCATATCATAAAATAAATGAAATAAAAACCAAAGCATCCCTTCAAGAAGAAAAAAATTGATACTTTTTATATAATAAAAACATTTTCCTCTCAATAAAAAGGGTGGGGGGAAATTGAGAAATGTACCTATATGGCGACAATTTTGCCTAAACTTTTTTTGGTAAAATCAAATGCCTTACCAATTTGAACAAACAAACAAAAAATGTGAGATACAAACAAAGCACATGCTACTCAGTTGGATTATAAACTGTGCAGAACAGGCAAAGCTAATCCATGAAGTTACGAAGGTGGCTGCTCTTGGGGATGTGAATGGGAAGGAATCAGAAGCGGCAGGAGAGTTTTAAGAATTCAAATTACAGAATTGTGTTCATCTTACAAAATCTGTTGAGTTTATGAGCTGTATTGTTTTCTATATATCTAATACTTCAATAAAAAGATTTTTTGAAGTCTTACCCGTAAGAGAAGGCATCATTGTCTCTCCATTTTGAAATAACAGAAGCTGCCAATCCAGCCAAAATGGCAGTGCTATCGAAAAACATGTGGAAAGAGTCGGAAATCAAGCCTAAACTGGAAAAGAACAAAACAATGGCACATTTTAATAAAACTAAGCAGGCATTCTAGTCTTGGATTCTGAAACACTCAGCCTTTGTTCATCAGGAATTAACCTGCTAAAGAGGCAACATTTACATATGATATGCAGAAAGACATCAAGGATAATTGTTACGCTTTTAGAAAGGAAACCATTGAATACTTGGGAAAACAAAATTCCCAACTGCTGTTGAGAGGAGTAGAAATAAAAGCCATCTGCCACACGCAAATGGCAGGAATCTAGACAACCCCTGCTCATCAGCAAAAATTATGATAGTGAAAGAAAGAAAAGAAAAGAAAAGAGAAAAAAGAAAAAAAAAGAAAAGAAAAAAAGAGAAAGAAAGAAAGAAAGAAAGAAAGAAAGAAAGAAAGAAAGAAAGAAAGAAAGAAAGAAAGAAAGAAAGAAAGAAAGAAAGAAAGAAAGAAAGAAAGAAAGAAAGAAAAGCCATCTCCTCTTACTGGTGGCTAAGCTGAAATCTGTTTGGGCCCATGCTCTTCCACTGAGATAAATCCAAAGTGTACAATTTGGTTGATGTGCTCATCCCTTGGATACCAGACTGCGTGCTGAGCAGGAGACAAGGAAAAGGCAGGGAGGAAATGCAAGAACTCTGAGAACCCCCACACTGACACTCAAGCATACAGCATACTCCTGTCTCTGTCAGGAGAACCTACTGCTCTTCTCTCCTTTACCAATATTGAATAAAACAGATACAAAAGCCTACTGCTAAGAGCATGAAAAGGCAGTTGAGGATGCTGAGCACCAGGGGCCCTGCCACCCATACGGGAGACCCAGATGAAGTTGCTAGCTGCTGGCTCCTGCCTGGCCCAACCCTGACTGATGCTACCATTTGGGGAATGAAACATTAGTTGGAATATCTACCTCTTTTGTTTCTACCTTTCTGCTATTCCACTTTCCAGATAAACCTTTTAAGACATACAGAGGAAAGGAGACAGAAAGATCCCTTGCAGGTGTGCCAGACATGATAAAAGCTGAAGTGTGTGAGAAAAAAAGGTCTCTAACACTCCAAATCACACACCAGAATCAAAGTAACAGGAAATATTGGGAAAATTAGGTCTATAGCTTGTTGAAAATTAAGTACCAACAACAAAACACGGGAGCACAAAACTCAGCTTATGAGCAACCTTGATCAAATAGGATTAAAACTCCTATACCAAGAGGCGGACCAAGCAAGCAAACAAACAAAAGCAACCAAAATCAAGCCAGTGAGGGTTCATTTCTATACAAATACATCATCATTCAACCTCCATTTCTATTATTATATTAAACATAATAGCTAGCACTCAATAAATATTAAGACACATAATAAAAGTGGAGGAACAAAAGAAGAGTCCCTGTTCAGAGCTAAAGCAATCATAGAATCAGAACCAGAAATGGGCCAGATGCTGTAATTGTGATAGGACTTGAAAAAATATTTAGTAAATATGTTAAAATATGTGACACAAAACAATGGAAAACTCATGAACAAATTACCAGATAGATACTATATAAGAATCAAATGGAAATGATAAAAATTCTAAATTAAGCACTGAAGATGAATAATATGCATGTGCTACAGAAAAAAAAAAACCTGACCCAGCAAGAATCAGTAAAAAGAAATCATACAAAATGGAGAACAAAGAGAAAATGCAATGAAAAACAAAATAAAACAGAGCATTCAAAACCTGTAAGAGTATCAGATGAGACTTAAGCACTCAGTGTTTCAAAAACAGGGAACAAAAGAATGGATTAGAGAAAGTATTTCAAGGCAAAATACATGCAAATTTTCCAAAATGTATGAAAGAAAATCAACCACAGTTCTCAAAAGCATAATTAATCTCATACTATGGGAAACAAAGCAAAACAAAACAAAAAACCAAAACCCTGCATTCTTTGCAAACTGCTAAACACAAAAGAACCAGAAAACTCTTAGAAAACCATTACTTATAAAATTACATATAAAAGATTAAGAGATAAGAGTTATGAAGTTTTCATCAGGAATTATTAAAGCCAGAATGTAAGAACATCTTTAAAGTAGTTAAAGAAAAATTAACAATCTAAAATTCTATATCCTGCAAAGTATCTCTTAAAGGCTCGGCCCAGTCCTGGCTGATGCTCTTTTGGCTTTTGCTCCTAAGAAAAGGAGGAACAGATTGGCAAGTAAGGGCATGCACTCTATCTCAGCTTTTCAAATAAATTAAAATTTTTTTTCAAGCAAAACTAAAGACTTCTTCAGACAACCAAGGCTCAGAGAATTAATTGCCAACAGACCTGAGTTAGATAATAAAGAAGTTCTTCAAGTAAGATAACGTCACATGGAAGCTCAGATCTGTAAAAACAAATGAAGAGTACTGAAAATGATAAATATGCTACTCAATATGTAAGATAACTTTCCTTACCTTCAATGTGTTTTAAAGGTAATTGAGGATGGAAAAATTTTTAAAAATCAACAGATCAAAAATTGTTTTTGTGAAAAGATCAACAAAATTGGTTACTTGTAGCAAATAGATCAAGTAAAAAGGACTCGAATTATTAAAAATTATGAAGAAACAGGGACTTTTACCACTGACTTTACAGGAATAAAAAATATTACAAGGAAACACTAAGACATTAGGCAACTCAGACAAAGTAAATTAATAGCTAAAAATCAATCTAAAAAACTGTATTTAAAAATATCTTAACAGACCTATAACAATGATGAGGATTGAATTAGTTAAAATTTTGAAAAAAGAAACAGCAATTCTGGTTTCCCTAACAAATCCTACCAAAAGGCTAAAGAACAACTAAATAATGGTCCTTTTCAAACTATTTCAGGAAATAGAAGATGAAAGAATAATTCCCAAGGCTTAGACTGGTGTTAGTTTGATACCTAAACCAAAGACATTGCAAGAAAACAAACTCCAGACCAATGCTTTAGTAAAACACATGGAAAAATCCTCAGCAGAAGACTAGCAAAGGGAATCCAGCAATACTGCAAAAGAGGTTATACTATCACCTCATAAGACTAAACCAAGGCAAAGTTGATTTAACATATAATAATTGCTTGATCAACATATTCTTCCTTATCAATGGAAAGACAAGCACCTTAGTAGCTGATGAAAAACATTTAACAATCTCTTTTATTAGGAGACACTAAAAAATTAGAATAGAAGAACTTCAGCCTGATAAATGGCATTCACAATAATTCATAGGTAACAACAACATCACAAATGGTTACCATCAGGTATAAGGATGTCTCTTCCCATTATATCTGTACCAGAGGACTTAGCCAGAGTATTTAAGCAGCAACAGAAATAAAAGGCACCCATGTTGGGGGAAAGGGAAGAAAAGAAAATTATCTGTAAATGACATGATATGGTATAGAGTCCTTGATTTACAATGAGGTCACAACCTGTTAAATCCATTCTACATTAAGAATTTAAGTTGTTGAAAATGCATCTAATATTGTAATCTCCTAAACACAATAGCACAGCCTAGCCTACTTTAAGCATGTCCAAACACTTAGTGTTTGTTAGTGTACAATTGAGCAAAATCACCTAACAAAAAGACCACTTTATAAGAAAGTATTGAATATCTCAAAATTCAAAGTATTATTTCTAATAAGTATGTATTTATTTCCTACCACTGTGAAGCAAAAACTTTTAATTGAATCATCGTTAAGTCAGGGAATGTTGATATGTAGAAAACCTTAAGTAATCTACCAAAAAATTATTAGAAGTATAAACAAATTCATAAGTTTACAGATAAAAAAATCAATAGATCATAATAAATTTACTCCTCCACAGCATCAAAAGCATAATATCAAACAAATGAAATGGCAATGCTATATCTGCTAAGAGATCTAAACCTTCACACATGAAGAACTTTTAAAACCGAAGAAAAATAACCCAATATAAAAAATGGAGTAAGATTTAAGTAAGCACTTTACAGTGACATACAAATGGTCAATAACATCATTAATTACAAGGAAATGTAAATGGAAATCACAATGAACAACAATTTTGGACTTACTAAAAGACTATAACAGAAAAAGATTAGCAGCAAGTATTGGTGAATACAGACAACTTAAACCATGATATGGTGATAAAATATTACTTGATAGCAGAAATAAATGGAACACTAATCCATAGAAAACATAGATGAACTCCAAAAGCATGATAAGTGAAAGATATCAGTCTCAAAAAAAAAAAATCACATAATGTCCATATTATCTAGAATAGCCAAAAGAGGCAATTTCACAGACAAATACCAATTCAAACAAAGATATCAGAAGAAAATACAGTCTTAATAAAGGATTACTATGATAAAATGCTGAGAAAATTTGGTTTCAGAAAAGCAGCCTCATATTCTGAAAACAAAACATCTTTGTGGAGTTAATGAAAGTTTACAACTAAACTTAAATTAAAAGTCAACCTCAGGGAGTGGGCAGTAAGATATCATTTGGAACACCTGCATCTGGTATCGGAGAGTCTAAGTTTAAGTCCCAGCTCCATTGCCAAATCCAGCCTCTTGCTAATGTGTATGCAGGGAACAATGATGATGGTTCAAGTACTTGGGTCTCTATTTTCCATGTGGGAGATATAGATTGGTTCCCTGGTTCCTGGCTTGGCGTGCCTCAGTCCTAGCTGCTGCTGCATCTGGCAAGAAAAACAGGTGACAGCTGGGACTGAAGGCAGGCCAGGCTGCGCCAGGCTTTAGCATCTGCTGGCAAATGCTGAGGCAGGGGATGAGTAATGTCAGACCGACTACAGCACTTGCATGGCACTCAAGACTAGAAGCAGGCCTCACGAGGGAGCTTTGGGGATTCCCTTGCTGGGCTGCTACTTCTACTGATAAGTCAGAGAGTTGTGACTGGAAGTTGGCTGGTCTGTGGGTGGGCTAGGTAGGGCCAGTCTACAGCACCCACTGGCAAATGCTAGGACTGAGTGTGAGTGATGTCAAGTAGGACCACCGTATCCCCAGCCAGCCCAAAATCTGTGGCTGGGAGCAGGCCTGGTAGGGAAACTGTGGGCACTCCCCTGTGGGCTGCAGCTCCCAATGGTGAGCACAAGAGCCAGCGATGAAGGGTAGTGAAGGCAACAACACCCATTGGCATATGTGTGGGCTAGGGCTGGGGGCAGGTCCAGATGCACTAAGCTGCAGCACCCATGGTGTGCTTGAGCCAGCTGGGATGCAGGACAAATGGGGTAGGAAACAGCACATGCTTACACAAAGATCAGGTCTTGGGGCGGGCCTGATGGGAGTTACTCAGGGTCAACCTGGTTAGGCTGCAGTACCTTTTTGTATGAGTGAGGATTGGGTTTGAAGTGGTTGGGCTGGGCTAGGCTGCAGCACCCACTGATTCATGAGTTATAGAACTAGGGCAGAACTGACCAGGCAGCTGCATCCAGTGGTGCAGGTGACAGACCAAACCTGACCCTGCACTTACTGGAACATATAGAAGTCAAGTCTGAGGTCACCCTGGTGAGGTTTCTTGGGGGACTCCCCAGCTAAATGGCTGGACTCAAATTCAGCCATAGGAAAAATCACAATATATGTGGTCCAACCTTGGAATCCATGTACTGGGACTGGGCATCCTCAGTTGCTGATGCTTGTGCATTGGACTGTATGCCCAGATGCACATGGGGGATGTGACAGTCAGTTTATTTAGGCCAACAGAAGAAGACGTCAAGCGCAGCAAAACAAGTTGGACCACTCTCCTGGCCAAGCTTTGCAACATACTCCTGGGTCTGTGGATACCATGAGGTGGGCTTTGTTGACCAATAGATCTTGAAGAGATTTTCTAAATCCTGGTACAACAAAGTTGACAACATCTCAGAAGGATTAAAACCACTCATGGGACACCCTTGGAACACTCACGCTTCCCTTCATCATGGTCTCTAAGATGTCATCAAATAACCACACCCCATCTCCAGGTGCTGATATTGTTTGACAGCAAGAAGTATCCCCCTCGTTTACCCTCCCCTTCAGTCCCTGGGGACACAGAAGAAAATAAACAAAACATCCCATTCACCGTCCTACATACATGATCTCCCCCACCCTAATCTGAAGCCAACATGGACATGCATCCCTCTCAACCATGTAAACAATATTAGAAATAAGTAAACAAATGAAAAATAAGTAAATAATGCCTTGAAGGCTAACTGTGAAAACAGGGTATTTTCTAAATCTGCCAAAACACTCATGAGAGATGAGCTATGTTTCATATCCATTCATTAAAATTAAGGTTAGGGATTAAGTGGTTGGTGATGGAGCTGAAAGCAGTATACCTAGCAAGAGGTGATGAATAATTGCTCAATGACTTAGAGTTAACTAATTCTATGGTTACATTCCAAATCTAGAGGATATATTACAGTGAAAGAATAAACTGAAAGAGTATAGAAAAAATTTACCAAAATCATTCTTTTCAGGATGCAGTGATAAATATGACGAATGACTTGGAAAACAACAGTTCCAGTAATCTCCTCATTAGATAGATCAAGAGGGTTACAACAATATACCCGATCTTTCATGAAAGAGATGCTTAGGCACTTTCAATTCAAATCCCTTGAACAAGTTATTTCAGGTGGTGCTTAATGTAACAGAATTCCAGAGCAAAATATGAAGCACTGTAACACAAGAAACTAGCAAAACGGACATATATAAACCAGGATACAATCTTGATAAAATTAGCATACATGCTATATTAATAGCAAAAACTACCAAGAATATGTAAAATGTTACAAATGGTACATACTTATAACAAAGGATGATGATTCAAGTAGTACTTTTAAAACCTATAGTACACTGAAGCATGTTAGTATTATGGGATTAAAAATACCTCAGTCTACCCGGGCCATCCTTCACAAACACAAAGGGTCTTTAAGTTTTATCATCTTTTTATCACTGGCTACTTTTGATAAAATTCAACTGTGTTGACAGAATTGAAAGGATCATTTTTCATTTTAAAATACACATGTCACAAAACTTGATGATATTATCTAAAATCACTGCTCAACCCCAAAGATCTAGGGCAACAGTTTTCTGTTAAAAACAGACCGCAAAGGACAGACTCTGTTCATCTAACTGTTTGAAAGAAAGTGTAGACGGTACAGGTTCCAAGCCAGGGGTCCAAGATCTATTTTAGGGAATCCAAAAATTCCTGAAACTCTCAGTAAAATTCATATATATATATATGTATATATATATGAAATGATCTCAGGGTTGAGCAATTTCAGAAGACCTTAGTAACTACCTAAATAATAGTAGACTCAACATTAACTACCTAAATAATGTAACTTTATTTCTACAAAGCAACACCGGATTATCATTCTGCCCAAAGCAGGTCTGGAAAACCCTCGAATGCTGACACCAAAAACCAGCAAGAGATGAATACTTTTAGAAAGCTACAGGGCAACATCTAGCACAGTCAGGACCAGAGGAAAACCATAAGACAGCTTCAGCATTAAAGAAGGTAGACAATGACACAAATTCCTAAATACAGTTTCCTTTATAAACCATTTCCTCATTCCAAAACTTGACAAATTCAGCTAAGTGGGACACCTCACTTTTTCCTACTTAGAATCTTAAGGGGAAAATCCAATGCCACTCCTCCTCCCGCCCCCACTTCTCAGGGAGAGGCAAGGCACAGGTTTCTGACAATTACAGGAGAGCATGCAGATCCAAGTTGCACAGTGTCACCCAGGGAAGGTCTCTCCATTTGTCAGAACGAGGAGGTGTCGCTCTGGCAGACCAGGGACCAAGGGAGGGGGCGCGACTGTACGTGAGAGGTCCTGGGCCCAGGAAAGGTGGCCCTCCCAGGTCCGGGAGTGTAGCAGCAGAGGTAGCTGCCTGGGCGGACCTGGACCTCCTGGTGAGGAGCGACGTGGCATTAAGCAAACAGTCTTGGGTCTCCCCCATCCCTGCTTCCGCCCCAACCTTTTCCCCTCTTGGTTACCAGTTGCTCCAGATGCCGTAGAGAAGTTCCACAAAAGCGAAAGAGAGGTTCAGGCACAGGAAGAAAAACAGGTTCCGGGAGGTCTTGTCCGACAGGATGGACCTGGATACGACACGGTGGGGGAAGAGCCAGGAGAGTGAATGGGGTGCGGGATCCCCCAACCTGGGAACCCTGGGCTCAAGGCTGCCCCGCTCTCCGCCCACGCGCGCGCACAACACCCCTGTCCACTCGCTCCTGGCCTCAAAGTGGGCAGGAGGCTGACAGGGAGTCCCTGGCGGGGTTCCCCTCCCCGGCGCCAGCCTTCGGTCTGGGCCTTGTCCCCGACACCCGCAAACACAGCACCCCGCACCTAAACCAGCTGGAGATCTTGCCCAACAGATTGAACTTGGGTGGTTTGTATTCATCGTCTTTGATGGACAGTGGCAGCATCTTCTTCACCTGGCGAAAGGCCAGGTCTGGTCCCCTCTAGAAGCGGCTTCGGGGGGTTAGGCTGGCAGTGACAGTCGTGATGCCTCGGACGGCAATGTCCAGCGCTGATGGGCGGCCGCGCGCCGCGGCCAGACACAGACCCAGACACACACACACACACACACCCAGGAACTCGCAGACTTCCGGCCCGGCCGCGCAACGGGTCCTGGGACGGGAAAGGGGGCGGGGCGTGCGCGCGGGGCGGGGCTTGCGGCGGTGGGCAGCGGAAGGTGTCTAGAACCGAGACAACTTCTGTCACCCGCACTCTCGAAGCAAACCCTGAGGCGGCCGGCTGGATTGCGGTGTTCCGGGAGGCCGAGCGCCCGCTCACGCCCTCCCTGCTGTTCCCGGAGGGGCGCAGCAGCTTTCGCCATCAGCCCCCCTGTGGGCATGAGGCTCTGGGGCGGCGCTGCCGGGGGCTGCGGGCCACACCGCGTGCTGTCCGGCCGCCAGGCCGCCCTTAAGCCCTAGAGGAGGTTCAATTAGGTGAATTCAGTGGGCCCCCCCAAATCGTAGTTCTCCACCCACTTCCCTGAAAACAGCGCCCGGAGGAGACCGCACGCTTTTCAGAGGAAAGACGGTCGAGGGGATCTAGATGAAGCGCTCCAGAGCGAGGCCCCTGGGGACAGTGTTTGGGTCAGGGTTTGCTTGATGTGTTGCTTCCTGGAGGATCTCTGCCTGCTTCCAGGTCTTGCCCGAGGTTCCGCTGCCGCTTATCGTTGCAGGCAGACCCCTCATTACCGATGTGGGGGTCCTGCAAGCCGAAGCTGAGCCGTGGGTGTGAGCCGGGCCAGTGCGGGCGCAGAGCTGGCACCCACAGGGCCCCTCTTCAGGAGCCTTCCCGGGAACGCTTAGGGTTGGGTCAGGCAGTCCGTCACGGGAATGACTGAAACTTCTTATCCTAGGGGCAAGGGAATGAAGGAGAGCAGGTCGGCTGAAAACTACAAAACCCAGCTTCTTGGGAATGCCTTTTGGGGGAACAGGAAGTGGTGCGTCACCGAAGGGGAGGGGTGGCCACTCGGGGGCTGGCCCCTGCTTGCAGCGCTCACTTGGCGGGCGGCGCTTCTCCCAGGTTATCAATCCAGCCAAGGAGGCTGGGTGCAGGAAGGCTGCTCGGTGGAGAAAAAAAATGAACCAGCGAGACGTCCCTTCCGTTCTGTGATATCCGAGCTGCAGGCAAACACTTCGGCTGGCCTCCCTGCAATCTTCTGCATTGTCGGTAAGGAGACAGGGAAATGCAATCGTGTATTTTTTTTCTTTTCTTTTTTTTTTTTTTTTACAGTGAGGAGATGCGCATTTTTGCTGTTCAGGGAACTTTTGTGTAGAAGCGTAATTCACTAGTTATTATTTTGAAAATATGTGCTTAATTTACAGTTTTCTTAATGCACATGGTAATTAAAACAAGTGTAAAAGCAGCAAGGCTCCAGAAATTAAGCTCTGGAAGAATATTTTGACTTTGCCTTTCTTCTTGTCAGTAGATCTCATTGTTTTTACTTAAATACACAAGTGCTTGCAATTAGTATCATTTACTTTTTTTGTTTGTTTAGGAAGATTTTGTATTAGTGATACAATGTTACTCTACTGCACTGTTGGGGAAGCCATAATTAAGTGCAAACTAGTTAATTTAGAAATCTTTACGTGGCAATTTTTTTTTTCCTTAAAAGCTGCTTTATTTCAGCATGATGTACTTGGCTGGGTGTGATACAGAAATCATTCAATTTCAGTAACTGATTTCCAGCGTTCTATTATCAAGGCCGACTGCAGTTGGAACCTGTGGTTTTGTATTCTTTCTGTGAAAACAAGTTCTGTATTTTATGCTATTTTGCCACAAATGAGAAAGTGTTTAACTAGAGAAGCCTGAATTGCTCTTTTTCAAATAAATTTTAAAATATGTTCGGGAATTGAATTTTCATTTCAGTGTATCAGTTTCCAGAAACTCCCAAATTTCCTCCTTCCCCCACCCACCCTGCAAAAAAAAAGACTCACGCTGAGTTTTCCTATGAGAACCTTCTCTTTGTAAAAACTGGCAGTGCTACTTGACTTCAGGTCTTTTGGCTTTGCACAGCATGATGACCAAATTTAACTCTTTAGTATCATTATAAAGTGTACATAGACTCTGGTTAAATGAAGGAAAGTACTGTGAGTGGGAAATGTTCCACTGTCTCTCCCTTGTTCCTTCATCTTAAAACATTAGCCTTCTCTCCTAACATTTCATTCATTCGTTCAGTAGTTTTCCAAGGAGGACAGCTATGTGTCAGATGCTCAAGGCAGTACAATCCGAGAGTCAGAGTTCTCCCTCTGGTGGAATTTTATGCAGAGGAGAAACTGGTGTAAAGGGATGAGTGATAACAGACAAATCAGTGTTTTAAAACTGTGTCATGTTTAAGAGGTTTAAACGAGATGCCCTTTGAGAATGAGAAGAGATGCTATCATTTAATGAGTTGGTGTATGCCCAACGATTCCTTTTGCCCCTTCCATCATCATGCATTGGAAAAATTAAAGTGGTTCTTCAGCTGTGTTCAGACAGCCAGTATCTTGCAAGTCTCCAATCAGATGCTATATGTGGGTATTTTCCAATCAGAATTTTTTTTTAGACTTATTTTTTTATTTTATTAGAAAGTCAGATATACAGAGATGGGAGAGACAGAGAGGAAGATCTTCTGTCCAATGATTCACTCCCCAAGAGCCTGCAATAGCTGGAACTTGAGCCTATCCGAAGTCAGGAGCCAGGAGCTTCCTCCGGTTCTCCCACATTGCTGCAGGATCTGAAGGCTTTGGACTGTCCTCAACTGCCTTCCCAGGCCATAAGCAGGGCACTGGGGTGCACCAGGATTAGAACTGGTGCCCATATGGCATCCCAGCGTGTGCAAAGCAACCGTGCTTTGCTCCCAATCATTATTCTTAATTCCTTTATATTTTAACATTTGATGGATTTATAAAATTATAATATAAACATAGTAATACATGTTTTAAACTAATTTATTTGTACCATGAATTTTAAAATATTTATATCTTATCCTGAAATTAATTGCATTAAGTTCCAATGCATACTTTATGGGGGGAACAAGCTTTCTAAACATGTGATTGAAGACCATGACATGCAAAAACAGGGAGTTAAGGGGCAGAAGCTTGTCTCCAGCTGTGGTTCCAACTGCTTTCTGAGAACAGTCGGTAAGGATTGGCCATGATGCTGTCGGTCAGCCCTTATTAGTCAACCCTGGCTGTTACATGCAACACTATTTTAGACTTCATGGTTTTTTTAGGTGCTTTGAGTGGATTGTCCTGTGTAGCTTCAGTGAAAAAAAAAAGAGTTTATAATCATGGGTAAGACCATAAATACATGTAAATCTAGCAATTTTACAAGTTCAAATTGCTGATATTTCCAGAAGTTGTGTTCTGTGACATATACACTGTAGTTACAAGTAAGAGAACATTGGATGCTTGAGATCTTGTGCTTTTACTCTGCTTCTAGAGCTTCAAGAGAAAGAAGTTAGTGTTGGCAGTGTTAGCCTGAATGAATGGGAAGTCATTCTTGCTTCATTGCCAAAGTGTGGTTTGTGGGACACAAAATACCGGATTCTTATTTCCAAAAATAATTCAGGCCCTATAGACAGTGGCATTAAAGCCTTGAAATCCTTTTGTAACTTTTTGCTGATTGATAAAAACATTATGAGAAATTCTTTGCTTTTCCTTGATAGAGCAAGGGCCTGTTCTGATTCAGTACTGAAGCCATAAGGAAATAAAAAAAAGGCCCAAAAATCTGCTAAAATGAGGTAAGTATTAGCATTTTTTTCACTTCTTACCAAAAAAGTGATAAAATACATATGTATAACAAAATGTTTATCTTAACCAGTTTTAAATGTGCATTTCAAAATTGTTAGGTACTTTTACTTCTGTACAACACATCTTTAGAACCTTATCTTGTAAAACTAAAACTGTATACCTCTAACTTTAAACCCTAACAAACTGATCCACTTTATGTCTGTGAATCTGAGAATGCTAGATATGTCATTTTTTTTGTAACTGGCCTATTTAAAATAGCATAATGTCCACAGGGCCCATCTTTGTTATAGCATGTGTCAGAATTCTCTTCCTTTTTAAGATTGAATAATGTTTTATTATGTGTCTGTCTCATTTTCTGAATAGATATCAATTCATCTGTCACTAGATGTTTCAGATATGTCTGAATTTAAGTTTGACAAATCCTGCTGTGAACAAGGACAAACTACCAGTGTTCTTTTGTTTTCTTTTTCTGAGAAAAGTGATTTCCTATTGAAGTATTCTGTTACTCTGAAAATTGAAAGTTCGTAATTGAGTCCCGGATTGTTAGAAAATTACACAGGCTTTTGTATGTCTGATGCATGGAAATATTAGATTATAGAATGAAGATATTGCTCATAAGTTTGAAAATTTTGTAGATTAGAGCAAAGTTGAAAATCGAGACTATGCAGAAGACAAAAAATGATAAATGGCTCAAGTGAAAGTTGGAAATTTGGTTGTGACCCTTTGCTCTGACTCAGGAAATTCATTTCATGTTCTCATTCCCAACTATTCTGTCTACAAATGAGATGGTTGTTTTTATATCCTTGGTGAAGATTTGAAGTGTTACCAATTTGAGGTATTATGTGGAATGAAAGGACACAAGAACTCTGGCAACTTTGATTATTCTTACTAATCTGAGAAGGCAGGAACTGGGTCTTGCACTCATTACCAACCTGGTGCCTCATGATGCTGGGCACAGGTAGCACCAGTAAATATTTATGGACTGGTGGGCCCTCCCTCCCAATATTATGACCATTCCTTATAGAATGAGATAACTCACATGAGTTGAGGTTGTTTTCATCTCAAGTTTGAATTATAAAAGTTTTAGTAAGACATAAATCACATGTATGAAATCTGTTTCTTTTAGAGAGTTCATGGTGGAATGTGAATTTATTGTTGAAAACCAGAATTGGGTAAAATAGAAGAGGTTCTATAAAATATTTTAAGGATCTGTGAACTAGTCTAACAATCTTGCCTTTCTGCCTTTCTCCATTTGCTTTCTTTATAAGATCTATTTACTTTTATTTCAAAGGCAGATTTATAGAGAGAAGGAGGCAGAGAGAAAGATTTTCCATTGGAGCTGAGTAAATAGGAA